AAGTGCACAGCCTATTTTCCTGTAGTAAATCAATCCCTATGTGTTTGCTTACAGAACCTTTATTGTGGAGCGGTTTTCAGCTTACTGATTAGATTGTCAATCATCTATTGGAAGAGCATTTTTATGTAGTACTTTGGACATCTAATGACCAGACAAGGAAGATGGAGGGGGCAGAATAGTGGTTCCTTGAAGGGTTCAGGCTTGGGATGGAGGGAAGTCTACATCTACATTCTGCTAATTCTTTTTTTTTTTTTTTTGTGGACTTCTCCATTTACCCTGTAGGAAAGACATTCTACATATGCAGCAAGGTGTGTGTAAAATTCCACAGATTAAACAGATACCAAAAGTAAGATAAAGTACAATTCAAAAATGAATGAGAAAAAGATAAGACTTTTGTAAACTCCATGTTAAGGACATAAGTAATACTGAATGTTGCATTACGATGTGCTTACTACCTGTCAGCCGTCATTTAGTAATCGCATTCTGTATGCAGACTGACAAACATCAAATCTTTTTATTGTTGTGTAGGGTGGCCAAGGTTCAGCAAAGAGGGTAAGACTACACTACGTCTTCATCACTCAAGATAAGACACTGGAAACCTAGAGGAGATTTTCCCTCAATGCTTTGACACCTTCTCATGCACGAAACACGAGCAGCACTTGTAACCAGACCTCGATACCAAGGAGAGACAAGCATCCACAGGTAACTGTGCCAAAGACAGTGCAATCTTTTCACTTCTCAAATTCCGCACTTGAAAAGGGGAGAAGAAACAGACAATGACGGAAAAAATGACTGTCAGTGATACTGCAACCTACAAGCAGTTGGGAGTGTTAATATAGCTTGGGGCTGAGGGCTAGTGAGCACACATGCACAGTATTGCGGCATTGCCTGGCAATTCTTGTCCACGCCAACCCAGCTAATGCATCAAGAGCTTTGGCAGGACATGCCAGTGGGAAAGCATACAAGTCTTTACACACAAAGCATTTGATGGACGTCAGACATAACACCCACAGACATATTTAGTAAAGCAAAAGGGTAAAGTAATGTAACCCATACCAACCATTCAGACTTACACTGAATGGCCTCCTGTACCGTCAAATTAGATGCTACTGGTTACACCGTATCATTGCTCTTTTCAGCAGCTTAGTAAACCCATCTGTGCTGTTTTCATAGATATTACTGAACTCTCATGAGCTGGTTGACAAAGCCCCTCCACAAGCATGTTTGCATCTCTGTTTTCCCAGCAGATAATGATATTAATGTGTACGCTGTAGCCCTGCTGTTTAGTCAAAGATATCAAATCTGTGTTTAATATACTAACTGGAATTGTACGCCACTCATGGTTCAAACAAAACAAGGGGCCAAGATTCCGCACTGAAATTAAAGTACACCTACAGCCAAAACTTTTGTTTTTCAGTTTGAACAGACTAAAGAAGAGCAAACCGTTGTTTTGTTTTAAAGAGATTTCACTTCACTTTCTGCCCTGTAGACTCAACAGAAAGTTAAGAGAATCTCCACTTAGTTGTCACAGAAACTATCTGTGACATTGGAAAATTTCCCCTCTGTAGAAACTGATTTGTAATGTATACTCCCTTTCATTCCCGGTGACACTTTGTTGATCAGGACAGTTAGAGTGAATCTTTTTAATATGGACATAGACGGTAATAGTTAAGTGCAGGTGAAAGCAACAGGTTTGCTTCAAAGCCCAGCCCCGCAGCAGCACATACTCTCGCCTATTTTTTTTTTATTATTATTATTATACAGGATTTATATAACGCAAACAGTTTGAGCAGCACTTTACAAAATGAACGTAGACATTGCAGTCACAATACAATTTGGTAGAAGAGGAAACAGAGCGCCCGGCTCCTTAGAGCTTACAATCTAGGAGGAAGGGTTGAGTGATACAAAAGGTAATAGCTGTGGGGGATGAGCTGATGGAGGAAATAAATGGTGGTTTACTAGGAAGAAGCAGGATAGGCTTCTTTAAAGAGAAAGGTTTTCAGGGATCGTCTAAAGGTGGATAGATTAGGAGACAGTCGGACAGATTGGGGTAGAGAGTTACATAGGATGGGAAAAACTCGGGAAAAGTCCTGGAGGCAGGCATAGGAGGAGGTGACACAGGAACTAGAGAGCAGAAGGTCTTGTGAGGATCGAAGAGAGCGGTTTGGTAGATATTTTGAGACCAGGTTAGTGATGCAACTGGGGGCAGAGTTGTGGATGGTTTTGTAAGTTTTTGTTAGTATTTTGAATTTTATTAGTTGGGTGAGTGGAAGCCAGTGGAGGGATTGGCAGAGAGGGGTGGAGGGGAGAGGGGTGGAGGGATTGGAAGAGAGGGGTGGAGGCCAGTGGAGGGATTGGCAGAGAGGGGTGGAGGCCAGTGGAGGGATTGGCAGAGAGGGGTGGAGGACACTGATTGGAGGTCAGTGGAGGGATTGGCAGAGAGGGGAAGCAGACACTGAATGGTTGGTAAGGTGGGTGAGCCTGGCAGTAGTATTCATGATGGACTGGAGGGGGGATAGCCTATGAAAAGGTAAGCCATGAGGAGGGAGTTGCAGTAGTCTGGGCGAGAGATGACCAGGGAGTGAATTAGGAGCTTTGTGGTATCATTGGTTAAAAAGTGGCGTATTCTGGAGATGTTGCGGAGGTTGAGGCGGCATGATTTGGATAGGGATTGGATGTGGGCCTGAAAGGATAGTTCAGAATCCAGGGTTACCCCTAGCACGCTGACATGCAGGGATGGTTGAGTTAATAGTGGGGCCATTGATCCTGACCGAGAAATCAGGGGAAGAGGCACATGGGGAGGAAATATTATGAGCTCAGTTTTGGATAGATTGAGTTTTAGGAAGTGTTGTGACATCCAGTCTGATATGTCTGTTAGTAAATCGGTGATACGTGAGGAAACTGATGGGGTGAGCTGAGGAGTAGAGAGAGAGATTTGTGTGTCATCAGCATAGAAATGGTATAGGAAACCACGGGAAGCTATCAGCTGACACAAGGAAGAAGTGTAGATCGAGAATAGGAGAGGTCCAAGGACAGAACCTTGGGGGACCCCGACAGTAAGTGGAGTAGGAGAGGAGGAAGTAGAATTGTAAGTGACACTGAAGGTGCGGTGAGATAGGTAAGATTCGAACCAACGGAGATTACAGTGACGGAGACCAAGTAAATAGAGTTTTTTTTGGGGGGGGGGGTGGTCAACTGTGTCAAAGGCAGTGGAGTTTCATGCTATATTTAATAAAAAAAAATACTTTCAGGTTTGGGGCAAGCATATGTATTCCTCCCCCTTTGATATCACTGGTGATTGGCCCTTTGCTGTCACACAGGGCAGGGAAAGTCATCAACACTTTGTAAGCTCCAACTGGAGGCTGTCTTCTTCATTTTCAACGGCTGCTGGAAAAGATGGGAATAGTAAGGGAAGAGGAGTATGTAGTGCTGAGGAGGGGGGTGTTAAATCAAACCTGCTTTGCTCTGCATGGACAAAGCACAGGGCTCACCCTAAGGGGGCATTACAGGACAAATGGACAAGCAGACACTTTCCTCAGGTTTTTACATGAACATGTACACTTAGATTACCCGAGTATGTACAATTATGTAAATCGGAGAATGGTGTAAGGTCAGACACACATACACAGACATATCCAAAGCAAAATAGTGACTATTTTTTCTTCTGAGATCTGTTGACTGGGTATGGCTGCAGGTATAAAATTATTGCTTAAATTGGGCAAGTTATCTTACATTAGTGGTCAGCTTTATGTTTCTTATGGGTGGACAGACCTGTTGCTGAAAGCAGGGAGACCAAGCTTGCCCTCTTTTGGATCACTGGACAGCTTGAACCACTGAAAATGTTGTCCCCTGTGACAAAACCAACTGGGCAGAGGCTTTTGGAAGAAACTGCAGGCTAGCCTACTGACTATGGGCCCTGGCATTTGAGGGAGCTCTACTGTTTGGGAGGTGTGTGCCTGGGGGGACATTTGGAGTAGTTTTACTTCAAATTCAAGTCCATGTTACCCCAAAACACACAGACTCTGAGGACTGGAAGGCCTGTGTACAGATTTTGGGCCTCTGTGCCCAAACCATCATTGACTGCTTCAACCCCCTCCTAGACTCAGAGACTCAAAGCAGAAGATTATAAACAGCTCAAAACTACCTGATGCTGAGGTCTCCTCTTTTTTGTAATCCGTTTATTAAGGTGTGTTTAGCCTCGTACACACGACCAAAAAATCTTACGAAAAATACCGCTTTCGAAGCGATCGTACAATAATCTGATCGTTAGTACACAGCTTTAAATAGCTGATCATGACAGTTCATCCAAAATTATCCAACGGGACAAACACGAACATGTTTCTTGTACAGTACCAGATCGTATGATTTTTGTTTAATCGGTACAGTTTTTGTCCAAAAATACAATACAGTAAATTACTTCTGAATTTATACTCTGTCGTACGAGAAGTTTCCTAAGTTGAGTAACCCTTGTCAATATGGGAACCAGCATGCAAAAAGTGGACGATCATTTGTCTAATATTCTCATCGTGTGTATGAGGCTTTAAGTGTCTTCCTGCCATTGTCAATTGAGTAACCTATTGTTCCTGTCTGTTTGCTAATCCTCTGATGTGACTAGTTTGGTGCAACTTTACTTTATTACCTAACCATTGTGAGATGTTTACCCCAATGTGTAATATTTGTTTTTATTGTTCATAGGTGGTGACTGCTCATATTTTTGCAGTGTATAAAAACCTGTATTTATGGTCAATAAATTAATTCTTTTTAGTTTTACTTCAACATCTTGTCTGTGTATGATGCTTGGGGTCAGGGGCGGACTGACCATTTGGAAACTCGGGCACTGCCCGGGGTCAGTAGGGGCCCCATGATATGCCCCTGGTACCTTTTTCATAGGCTTTTTTGAGTTTGGGCAAGGACACAGGGGCCCCATGATCCCCTATTGCCCGGAGGCCCGATGAGTTGTCAGTCCGCCCCTGCTTGGGGTAAAGGGCTAGTAGTAGACATCAGTCTGCTGGAAGGGTTTGGAGGGCAGGAGGCATCCGGGGGGGGGGGGGGGGGGGTGGGTCGATTGCCAGGCAGTCCATCACATCCCTGAACCAGCCATTATTTAGATGTAACATTGGTGTCACTATCCTTCATATATGGCGACTTTTACATACATATTTGTGATTGTACTTTGCAGCTCCTCTCTGTGAAGTTACATTTTTCATTAGGTATATCAGCTATTTGAAAGTGCACAGACTTCCTCTTTTATCGGTACAATCCTCTGCAACTTTACACGGATCCTGACAGTTAAATTATTACAGTAAACCATACAAATCTATTATATATTTATTGTACACATATGTAGCAGTATCATTATGATGCAGCAGTCAGCAGTGTCTACAGAAGAATTGAGACCTTGGATCAGATTTACCAAGAGATGCTTTGTCAGCTGAACCACCAACATGTTTTTAGCAGTTTTCCCATTACTGCATTTAGGAATTGTTTGTTAGCAAATGTAAAGCAGGCAATAACCTTGATAAATCTGAGCTGAGCATACACACCACCAGCCAGCGGACAAAGCTGCATAAATAGCTGAACTACATCTACATATTTCTCAGCTAAACTGGAGATAGTCTTCTGTTTGTTAAAATATGTCTAAATGCAAAACTATTTTTTCAGTTTGCATAGAGCAGGAGAGAATTAAAGTGGTTGTAAAGGCATTTTTTCCCCTAAAATGAAAAAGATGTTAAACTTACATGTGGTATTGCACAGAGCAGTCCCTTTCCAACTATTCTGGAGTCCATCACTGGTGCTGTCTCCTCCTCCATCCCTGCAGGTGCTCCCTCAGCAGCCAGAGGCTGAGGGGGCACCCATACAGGCACACTTCCAAGCCAGGCTGTGTGCATCCATAGACACACATGGTGAGACTCAACCACACCTGCTGCTCCCTCTGCAGATAATTTGACTGACAGCAACAGAAGCCTATGTTCCCACTTCTCTCTGTGTCTCCTGTGAGGCCAGGAAGAGCACTGGACTGTGAAAGGAGGCAAGCGTTTAGCAATTAGGGGCGGGGCAAGTAGTTGGGTGTTTTTTTACCTTAAAGTGATACTAAAGTCTAAGATACAGCAAGCGGTACCCGAGCAGGTGCGCTCCCGAGCCTTGGCTCTACGTGTTCATTCACACACACAGCTGCGGCTCAGCCCCACCCCCTCCCGATTTGCTCACCGGCTGTGATTGACAGCAGTGGAAGCCAATAGCTGCCTCAGCCAATCATGAGTGAGAGTCCCCAGAGAACCGAGGCTTTCGTGGACATCGCTGGATTGGGATGAGACTCAGGTAAGTGTTGGGGGGCGGGGGGCTGGGGGGTGCTACACACAGAAGGTTTTTTTACCTTCATGTATAGAATGCAGAACCACTTTATTGCAGAGAACGCATTAAGAATACATTCACCTTTAGTAACATGTTACACCCAAATTCAGGGTGGTAACATATTACTAAAGCACCTGCTGGCACCCAGATCCAATCCACCATGGTGACAGTGGGCAGGAGATCTTCTCCCCACACCCACTATCACAATTCAAAGCACAGAGTGGCTATGTGGAGCTCTGCCCACACAGCAGTGTCATTCCTTCACAAAGTTATGTGAATAAATGTACTACAAGTACCATCAGCCATTACGGCAGACAGCTTGTAGTTCTCAATTAACTAAAGGGCGTTGGTGAGCGCTCTCATAGTTCTAGGATCTTCCTGGACTTCAGTGACTGCCTGCCCATAAAGGAGGTACGGGTAGACAATGTGCTGATGGTCTGCAGGAGCCTGACATTGCACTCGTGATCGCGGATGCAATGCTTTACAGGCTCTTAAGAAAGAAATATGCAATTTTTACCTGCAATAAAATGTGCATTTTTTTTTTTTCAAGGTGAACTTAGACTAAGATAGAAAAAAAACCCCAAAACACTTTTTTTTTTTCTTTAGAACCACTTTAAAATCACATGATTGACTCTAACCTCTCACCACTCTACCCAAATCTAAAAATAAAGTCTTGCCATTAGTTATACTTTCATCGTCTCACGTTTTCCAGCCATGCAAGTGAGACCTCCAAACAAGAAGCAATATCTGTCCAGAAAGCAGCGCTGTATCAGCCGATAGCAATACCATATTGCTTAGAAAAACCAAAGAGTGAGAGAGCTCTGCTTGGTTTCCACAGAAATCCCAACACAAACAACAACAGGCCTTAATACTAAGTCATGCGCTGAGAACTCACATTGTTTCCACAGTATGATATCACCTTGAGGGCTAATTACTGTAAGAATGGAAAAAAGGAGAAGACACAGGCTCAGCGATGCAAAGTAAGGTGTTTCCTTTATCAGTACAGATTGTTTTTTTCAGACGCTGCCAAGTACTGCGGGCCCAAAGACAAGTCACCCTGCGCTGCATGAACAGGGGAGGCTTATTTATAATCCCGCTGAAAATCAAGGACTTTGGCAGTTGGATCCACTGCAGGGAGTGTTGTACGGGTGAAAGTGAGGGGATGGTCATACTAGGGTTGCCACCCCACCCTTTTAAATCTGAACACATATTAATTACACAGGTTTTGTGGCAGCTTAAGGTGGTAATTAAACTCACTTGATGTCTTATCTAAATTAGCCTCAAAATCTGTATAATCAATGTGTTCAGTTTAAAAGGGATGAGGTGGCCACCCTACAGATCAATAAATATAAATGTTAAATAAAAATAAAGTTCCTTGTGCAGAATCATTTAGGCATTTTTTCACGAACAGTATTTGCTGTGCATGGAAGATTATTTGCAGCTTTTTTTTTTTTCTTAAGACAAAGTCATAGACTTAATGCATTCACATAGTGCTTTCAATACAATTCACAGAACAATTGTGAAAGGAACCGTCACTTGTAAAACCTCCTTTCTAAATCAGAACTTTTAAAAATAAAAGCGTCATTAAAAATATATCACTGCTTTGTCTCCTCACCTTGAAGCTCCAACCCCTAATTACTGTTAGTAGGGAGAGCTTTTTTCCTCAGAGATAAGACTGTAGCAGATATCTGCCTCCAAAACCCTCTTGTGACACTGCCAGACCCTCCCTGAATCATTTTAGTAACTAATTGTATAGCATTTATCTCTAATTACGCAGTTTGTGAATTTCCCTCTAAACGTAGGATTCCCTTACATCATCTCCACTGCTACGTGAATATCTGTTTGTAGATCGTGGTTGTGGAACTGCACTACCATCGGTTCCTTCTTCTAGATATTGACCATACGCAGAGTTTATTCTTTCTGCCACCAGTCCTTCTTTCTCTGGAGCATCCTCAGCTACGGAGTCAAAATCTCGGCTATGGCGATAGACATAGGAAGCATGTTTCACAGAGCGTTTAAGGAGATGCCTCCTGAAAGCCCTCTGGATTTTGATGACACAGACTTCTTCTTGCTTTCTTTTTAATGTGGTGGTAATTGGTTCGTAAGACACTTTGGAAGGGTTTGCTGCCATGAACTTTTCTTCCATTGAGGCTTTTAGTGCATCCATCTCTCCAGAGTCTCCTAAGACTTCTTTAGTAAGTGCAAACAAAATATCTAAGCAGTGAATCTTATCTCCAGTTACCATGGGCAAGTCCATGGTGATCAGTTTAATCTTGTTGGGTTTGGGGATTCGTAAGGGTTCTTGTAGGGTATCTACAAAGTCTGACATCCGGCTGTATTCAACAAACTGTGTTGCATCGGGATCAAACTTTTCCCAAGTTTCATAGAACATCTCAAAATCGTCTTCACATAGAGGTTCACTGCTTTCTTCTGTGGCCACATTAAAATTCTCCAAGATGATTGCAATGTACATATTGACAACAATCAAAAATGAAATGATGATATAGCTGCAGAAGAATACAATGCCCATGGAGGGGTTTCCGCAGTCACCGGTCACCGCAGTCCCAGGATTCTCCATATGAGGATCACAGTCAGGGGGAACACTATTTAAAATTGGATTCAAAAGTCCATCCCATCCAGCCGAGGTAGTTATCATGAACAAGCAAATTATACTATTGCCAAATGTCTCAAAATTAAACATATCATCAATGCCAGATTCCTTCTTTACATAAGCAAAGTTGGACATCCCAAATATGGAGTAGATAAACATGACTAAGAACAGCAGCAGCCCAATGTTGAAGAGGGCTGGGAGAGACATCATCAAGGCAAACAACAAGGTGCGGATGCCTTTGGCGCCTTTAATAAGCCGGAGAACCCTTCCAATTCTGGCAAGTCGGATAACTCTGAACAGTGTTGGGGAAACAAAGTACTCTGCAATCAGGTCTGATAAGACAATGCCTGGAAAAGAAAGACATTACTTGTTACTCCTCCATCACACAATTGTGAAAGAATGATAAAAATGGCACAGTGTTTGCTTACAAATGCAAGAGTTAAGTCAGCAACCATTGCTTAGACATATGGGGGTTTATTTACTAAAGCTGGAGAGTCCAAAATCAGACTCCCTTCTGCATAGAAACCAATCAGCTTCCAGGTTTCATTGCCAAAGCTTCATTGAACAAGCTGAGGTTAGAAGCTGATTGGTTTCTATGCAGAAGGGAGTCTGATTTTGGACTCTCCAGCTTTAGTAAATAAACCCCATGATGTCCTCCTATGCTGTAGACTTTTCTCCAGTAGTCCTTGCTCCTGTCAAACTAGATTGAGAAACAGTTCTGTTGCTTTTACCCAAAGAGGCTGCTGAATCACTTGCTGGGGGTGGGGGAAGGGTGAACTGAGCTGCTGTATTACTCCTCCTGTGCTTCTGCATTGAATTTTGAGGTTTAACGGTTTTATGATGCTTACAGCTACAGGGGTTAATAAACACGTGTTTTAAACTTCTTTAAAATATTGTAAATAAAAGGTGACTTCCTTTGTTGCTGTACCAATATTATCAAATCACTATCTGTATGAAGTGAATTTACTATCCTTTGTTCATATTTGTGTAATTTTGCGCTTTTCTATCATAGGTCCCCATCGATACAAAAGGCTTTGGTCAAGGTTTCTTTCATTGAATTGCATTTAAGAACACTGGAGCAGTTATATATGCACACTGGAGCAGTTATATATGCACACTGGAGCAGTTATATATGCACACTGGAGCAGTTACATATGCACACTTAGGAATCAGGTTTAATCTGAATGGTTGTAATCAAGTGACGAACAAAAAGATATATACAGAACGTTAGCAATGGGTGGCAAGGACTTACCAGCAATAGAAAGAATGACCACTACAAAATCAAAAATATTCCATCCGACTGTGAAAAAATACTGTCTTAGTGCAAACATTTTAAGGAGACACTCTCCCGTGAAGATGACAATGAAGACCAAATTGATTTTAAAAAGTATATTGATTTTCTCTTCACTCTGGTCATCAGTTTCTATCATCATTGTAACCATGTTAAGGCAAATTAGAATCATGATTACAATGTCAAAGGCTTGTTTGGAGATGAAATCAAACACCACTCCTTGAACCGGATTCTGCAGGAAACCAAGAATAACAGAGTATGATGTGAGAAAAATGAACCACTTTACCCCCAGACCAATTCTGACATTTCTCGCATACATGTAAAAATCAGCCCAAACATTATATATTTTTGAAAGCAGAGACCCTGCAGAATAAAATGGTGGTTGTTGCAATTTTTTTACACCACACAATATTTGCTCCGCCATTTTTTAAAATGCTATTTTTTTACGTAAAAATACACTTTAATGAATTTTAGTGCACACAAGCACAATATAATACCCAATGTTTTTGTCAAATATAAAAGATGATGATACACTGGATAAATAAATACCTAACATGTTACACTGTAAAATTGCTTACATCTGTGGAACAGCGACAAACCACAGTACCTTAAAATCTTAATAGATGATGCTTTAAAAGCCTTTACAAGTTACCAGTTAAGAGTTACACAGGAGGGCTGGTGCTAGAATTCTTGCTTTTGCTCTGATGCGATACTTCATGTGTGGTACAGTCACCATTTAAATATGCATGTGGAGCTGACGTATGCATTTGCTGTTCCACATGAACATGGGGGGAGGGGGTGCTTTAATTTTTTTTTAATTAATTAATTTAAAACTTTTTTTACACTGTCCTTTCATTTATTTATTTTTTCAACTGTATTGCTATCACAAGGAATGCCCAAAATTCCTTGTGATAGCAATAAACATGACAGGTCCTCTTTATAAGGAAAATGGGGTCTATTAGACCCCAGATCACTCCTCTGCCCTGAAAGCATCTGATCAAACAGATATCAGTTTGATCAAATGCTTTAGATGCCAGTAATGGTTTGTAAACATCAAACGAAAACCGTAAGTGATGAAATCCTTGTTGTTTCTACATCACAGATGGGAGGTGGGTACAGAAAGGTGGCACTAGGTTGGTGGTTCCATTTTCTCCTCTCCTCATTTCTGAGAAGTCCTTCTTGACCTCAGTTGGCAGATATTCTCCACTGATGCCAGTCTCCCGGGTAAAATCAATAAGCTTTATTATAGAAAAATTAGCAGTATTGTTCAGTAACTGAGCCTACATGCCATATATAAATCATTAAATAAATATTTGAGCATTTATAAGCCTCTGCCTTTGTACCCCTTGGTGTATTTCTCCCTAAGGTCTGGTAGTTGTGACCTATTTGTATTTCCTTGTTTGTGCTGCCAGCACCTTTATATCTCCTGTTTTTTTTCATGCTAGCCCTGTTTATTTTATCTGGAGCTGAGATGTTTCATGACGATCCTTGTGTGGTCTGTCTACGGTGGGTGACCTGTATGGGGCTGCCTTTGTCTCCTGTACCTCTTTTTTTTTTTTAATGTTGCTGAGTAAATATGTGTTGCAATGCATTGATGGAGGCAATATATGCAATAGGTTCTCTTTATATCACCATCATATATGATGATTTTTAGAGTTCAGTTTGTTCCCATTATTAATATGTTTTCTTGGAGATGGATTTCCATCATCTTGCCCTAAGGAAGATAACGTGTAATTGAAGTACATTGGCCCTAAGTATCTACTATGAACCTCTGTTGGGCATCCATCATGTAACATTCCTTTCATATGACATCATGGGTTGATTGATTTACTTAAAACTGAAGAGTGCAAAATTGGCTACCATGCACAGCTTCACCAGATTTAGCACTTTCCAGTTTTAGTAAATCATCCCTCATGTTACTTCATCCACTCTGTACCTACACCTACTCGATGATCAGTCAGTGGATAAGTGATGTTTATAAACGGTAGGTTTTTTATTTTTTGTAATAGTTGTTCATTTTGATGGATGGGTGTACCCAAATTCAGTATATCCTGTTTATGTCCAGCTCTGACCCAACAATTCATAATCAGTTACAGTACTATTTTTAATCTCTTTTATGGTTTTTGTAATAAAAGTTTTTAAAATTTTTTATAATTTTTCTTGGGTGCCTAAAAAAAAAGTCCACTACAATGGACACAGATGTTATGACATGATGTGGCACACCAATCATGTAGTTGTTCTGTTTAGGTTAAGAGAGCACACTGAGTTTGTAGTGATCACTATACTTTACCTCTGGTCTAGGAATTGGTTTCACTGGTTTCTTTGATCCCAGTTTCTTCATAGCATTGTAGTATTTTTTTTGTTCTTCTGTCATGAATATATCTTTTCCTCCAAAGTATAAGAGAAAATCAGATTTGTTATTTGCAGTTTCATTATTAGAAACCCTCAGAAGAATGATTGAGTGCAGATAACTTATACTGCCGCCATACAACCAGATTTCCTCCCCTGCACTATGGAAGAGCAAAAGTGGAATTGAATTTGTTGCTACTGGGGTAATACAGACTGGACACGTTTATAGCTCGTATTTAAGTAAACCTTTCTAGGAGGAATTTGTGGGATGCCAATGCTGACCTCCTAAAATTGGTAGTTGCCCAGCCTTGATGTCAATATTTTCTTAGTTACTTGCCTGGACCAAGTATCCAGGTCAGGAAAATCAGAATAAACTCTGAAGTCCTTATCTACATTGTTGTTCCAGGTTAATAAATCAAAGAACTGACCCAAGGACCAATTAAAAAGCCAGCTAACAAGCATTTATACAATGAGAAGTAGCAATAACAGCCTTCCTAAGAAAATATTCCCCGGAAAGAGAAAATCTATCCAAAAGAGGTATGTACCAAACCTTGGCGACAGGTCTTCCCCCACCCCCTGCACTATTGTAACTGGTCAAGTTCAGAGTTACCTACTGAAAGGAATGATGAATGTACCCCTATAGAGATGCTACTAGAAGTGTATCTGTATTTGTACAGTGATGCTACTAGCATTTTGATTCATGTATTTCCTATAGGGATGCTACAAGACGTACATATTCCTATAGGGATGCTACTAGACGCACATATGAGGCAAGTACTCCTATAGTGATGCTACGAGATGTACATATTACTATAGGGATGTGACTAGACGTACATATGAGGCATGTACTCCTATAGGGATGCTACTAGACATACATGAGGCATGTACTCCTATAGGGATGCTACTAGACATACATATGAGGCATGTACTCCTATAGGGATGCTACTAGACATACATATGAGGCATGTACTCCTATAGGGATGCTACTAGACATACATATGAGGTATGTACTCCTATAGGGATGCTACTAGACATACATATGAGGTATGTATTCCTACCACTAGATGTAAGAAGCAACTATTACTACAGAGATGCCATTAGACAGGTCCAGATATGCTGTATCACTAAGTGCACTGATGCTCATTCCTGATTCCAAAGACCACCTTTATACAACTACACACACACTGTATGTACACTATATAACGTCTGCAGTAGAACCATGTAGTTAGCTATAGTATGATATCCATAAATAAAAATGTGTCAGTGGCCTACATACAAGATACATCTACCCAATACTTATCTTTTTCTTTTGTTGGTTGAAGTTGTCAATGATGACACCAATAAAAAGGTTCAGAGTAAAGAAAGCTCCAAAAATGATGAATATGACAAAGTATAGATACATGTATAAGTTTATTTCATACTGAGGCTGGTCTTCAATCTGCAAAACAATGGGAATGTTTAGTTATGACAGGCCATATACCGCACCATTACTAAAGGGGAGAGTTGCCTCCTGCTTTTCGCCTGACAGTCCTACAGCCTTCTCTTCACCTGACAGTCCTACAGCCTGTCCTGACAGTCCTACAACCTGCTGTTCTGACAGTCCTACAACCTGCTCCTCACTGACAGTCCTACCTGCTCTTCTCCTGACAGTCCTACAACCTGCTCTTCACCTGACAGTCCTACAACCTGCTCTTCACCTGACAGTCCTACAACCTGCTCTTCTCCTGACACACAACCTGCTCTTCCTGACAGTCCTACAAACTGCTCTCTCCTGACAGTCCTACAACCTGCTCTTCTCCTGACAGTCCTACAAACTGCTCTTCACCTGACAGTCCTACAAACACCTGTCCTACAAACTGCTCTTCACCTGACAGTCCTACAAACTGCTCTTCACCTGACAGTCCTACAAACTGCTCTGCTCTTCACCTGACAGTCCTACAACCTGCTCTTCACCTGACAGTCCTACAAACTGCTCTTCACCTGACAGTCCTACAACCTGCTCTTCTCCTGACAGTCCTACAAACTGCTCTTCACCTGACAGTCCTACAAACTTCTCCTGACAGTCCTACAACCTGCTCTTCACCTGACAGTCCTACAACCTGCTCTCCTGACTCCTACAACCTGCTCTTCACCTGACAGTCCTACAACCTGCTCTTCTCCTGACAGTGCTACAACCTTTATTTTTAAATGCGGTGCTACAAAAATGAAAAAGATTAAGAATGTTTAAAAAAAAAAATCCGTAAAATAACTAATGAAGGAGCTAATTAGGGTTAATCATCATTAACCACTTGCCTACCGGGCAATTTCACCCCCTTCCTGCCCAGGCCAATTTTCAGCTTTCAGCACTGTCGCACTTTGAATGATAATTGCGCGATCATGCAACACTGTACCCGTATGACATTTTTACCTTTTTTTTCACATAAATAGAGATTTCTTTTGGTGCTATTTAATCACCACTGGGGTTTTTATTTTTTGCTAAACAAACGAAAAAAGACCAAAAATTTTGAAAAAAAGTGTTTTTTTTTAGTTTTTATTATAAAATGTCGCAAACAGGTAATTTTTCTCCTTCACTGATGTGCCCTGATTATCAGTGTAGATGTCTCTTTTCACACTTACTGATTATCGGCAGTACTTTCCTCCCACTGTGACAGCGTGAGGAAAGTGCTGCTGATAACCGGCAACTGTATTTACATAGTGATCAGCTGTGATTGGACACAGCTGATCACGTGGTAAAAGGCCACTGTGATTGGCCCTTTACCGTGTCATGTGATCAGCAATCACAGAGCATGCTGGGGTGGGAGGAAGTCATATGACGCTCTCCCAGAACTGGACAACCACGCTGTAGCCATCATAGCGTGGTCAACAAGTGGTTAAAGCAGAGCTATAAGTATCTCTTCTTTAGTTCTTATTTAATAAAAAAATTCTAAACAACCAGGGAGTACCATGAGGTCCATAAAGCACCACTTTGACACAGTCCTAATTAGCTGATAGAACAGTGGTTCCCTTGTGTAGAGGACAGGTCCTCTTTAATATTATACACCCTTCTGAGTTTACTCACATTTCTGGAGTCCACAGCTGCATACATAATATCCATCCAGCCTTTGAAGGTGGCCTACAGAGAGAGCAGAAATAAATTGATACTGAATTTCAAAGTGACTGTTGTGCTTAAGTTGATATTTTCCATAGCTCTGTTCTTTCATTCCCATGCCATACATGACAAGTGTGATATACTGTTCATGCTACTCATACACATCATTTCATACTGTTGCAGTGATTTCCTTACCACTTGCAGGAGGGAAAGGTATCCAAGACCCACATTGTCAAAATTCACTTTGACATTAACCCATCGCACTTCCTCTGTGTTGTTTAGACCGAAGCAGTCCGATCGATTATTTACCACGGAAAGGTCAAATAACTCAGACGTTGTCGTGTTGACACATCGATAGTATTTCCCAGCAAACAGGTTAACTCCCATGATACTGAAGATGAGCCAGAAGATTAGACAGACCAGCAGTACGTTCATAATGGAAGGGATGGCTCCCAGCAGTGCATTTACCACCACCTTGAAAACAGAGAAACCCCTTAGAAATCGACTCTGCTAATGAAAGAAAATGGTTAAGTGATTCTTCCCCCCAACCACCATTTCTGCTTGGAACACTTCCCTGTACAGCAGTAATACAGAGGGTTCCCTGTGCAGCAGTACTATAGAGGGTTTCCTCTGCAGTCTTACAGAGCACCACTGTAACTGTACAGCCAACAGATGCAGCTGGAAGTGATGCAACAGCAGTTTCCAATCACACTAAAATACTTAGCGGGGGTCATGTATTACAGATAGAAGATTTCCATATAATACAAAAATATTAAGATATCATATAATCTGCACAAAAAAAGGGCTTGCACAGGAATAAGTAACCATGCACATTAGCTGTAAGTCTGATGTCCCTCAAATCTCGTAATCTAAAGCTTGCCATAAAAGGATCGCAATTCAGCCGATTCAATAGGGACTGGATGAATTTCGATCCTTGTGTGACCATGCCTGTTGGACAAGGGTTGATTGTTGGGTTGACTTTTGTTGGCTGGTTGCAGCTGCCGATCAGCGTATTCTGACAGCAGAATACAATGTCCCAGCAGGGAGGGTTCCTCTATCCACCTCACTAGTCTGGATGGAGGAATCCATTCAGTTTTTTCTTTCGGCCCACTGGCTGATTCAAAAACAAAAAAACAAGCAATCTTCTATGGCTTGCTTTAGGCTACTAGCATTGTAGTTTCTTTATGACCTGCCTCCAGTGAACTGGTTGTAAGCAAGCATGCAAAAAAGAAGCGTGCCAAGTGGAACAGGGAGATGTAAAGGCTTTTCATATCTTCCTGCAAATCCTTGATATTCAATAGTGAACCAAGTAAGTATACACATCTATAAACATCCTTGGTATGTCTTCTTTGAAATAAAAGATTTTTTTTTTTTTAATATATAGATCTATAATTTATATAGAGGTTGTTGTGGAGAGGATTTCAGATAATAGAAGAAAATCTAACTAGGAGTTGAAACCAATCAGAAGGATCTAACCAAAGGGCATCGAGCCAGGGAAAAGGTGAAAGGTTACCTTTGGAAACTTGGTTATATTAGGGGCGTCCCTTTGGCAGAATTATATAATCGGCAACAGCTACACAAAGCCGTTGCCTAGAAATGCCTGTGCATTTTTTGTTTTGTTTTTTACATAACTTGTAGAGATCCTCAGGAACTCCAAACCCAGCACACTCTATTATGCAAACCTTCACCAGTTCCCATGATTCAGCCACACTTCCTTCTGCTCCCTACAAAAAACACCTTTGGGTTTGTAAGTCCTACGGAATATTAAGTTATATAAATATGAATTTAGGACGCTATAGGAACCCAATTTTAAATGCTGCTTCTTTAGCACATTAAAGTGTATAAAGGGTCACTTTAAAGGACCTAGTGCATTTAAAACGATACAATCCTGTATACAACATGTGGGAGACTTGTGGTGCCACTCAAGGCTCAGTACAGGTAAAAGTCACCCCACCGGCAGAGAAAGAAGAGGGGAGCAGCGTCCCAGGTTGTTCCAGAAACTGATACGGTGTATGAAGAAGGGGACGCCACTGAAAACCGATCCGTGGAGTCAAACAATGATAGCATGATGCAGCTGGCTTCAGCCGCCGCTCCAGCCACGGCCTCTGATGCATTTTGCCCCCGATGGGCAGGGCAAAACATGTTAGAGGCCTGGCTGGAGCGGCGGTTGAGGCCATCTACAACATGCCATCATTGTTTGACTCCAGGGATCGGTTTTGAGTGGCGTCTGCTTCTTCATATACTATACAAACCTGTAACCACATAAACTGGCCACACATGTTGCAATCTGATTGTACAGTCTCTATAGGATCTCCTATACCATTCCATATATGCAGTAAGATTGGCTCACATGGTAGATCAAAAGCAGATATGTGTATAGCCAGCTTTAAACTGATTAAAACTGAAATACAATCATCATTTTCTAGGAATTCTGTACATAAACCAAGGCATAGCATATTTACTCACCCTCATGCCTTCAAATCTTGATAATGCTCTCAGAGGTCGGAGGGCTCTCAGGGTTCTCAGCGATTTGATGGCTCCAAGTTCTGAGTAGCCCATCAAGTTAGCAGTAAAACTGACCAAAGACACCTTTGAATAGTACAATATTGATTACTCACCATATCCATGGCAGAGAAAATAGACATTTCATAGAACATTTCAACACAAAAAAATGATTTAAAATGGACTCTCATGTTGATATTTACCTGTAAATGCAACTGTTAATCTATAATATAAATTAAAACATGAAATGGGCTGAGAGGACATTGTGGACTACCACCGTCTCTTTAAAAACCCCACCAGCAGGTTTAAAAAGTGCCAATAATATAGAACTTATCCAGTCTTCAGGAAAAATAGGTTAAAGTGGAACTATATGCCTTGATGCTTACCTTTCTGCCAATGGTCCGATGTTCTGCACCAGCATCTTCTGCCCACCTTCTTTCATGAGCTGGGCTGTAGCTGTGTTCCTTGGCCGTTGTGGGATGATATCACTTCTGCACATGCTCAGTGGTACGGTCATCCCGAAACACAGGCACTGTGCACAAATATAAACTGAGCTGCACTTGCCCAGCCCGGTGTACATTCCAAAGATAACTGCAAGCAGGCAGGTAGGTCTATTTGATTGCAGAAGAGAAATTGCATATCTCTTCTGCAATAAACAGTCTGCCTACTTGCAGTATATAAAATTGAGACTTTATTTCCTCTTTAAACACAGGACATCTGCACAAAGAGTTCAAATGGCTGTTTAGCTTTTAATTATAATTTTTTAATTACAATCCAAAAGGAGAACAGTAAATTACATTGCTTTGGTGCAATGGAGTGTGCAGGGTTGTGTATTTAGTTTTGGCTGTAACTACTGTTGGCGGGCTTAATTCATAAAGGATCTGCTGTCAACACTCCTGAGACTCAAAATGGGACATGGCTCAGTTTTGGCAATGTCACAAAAAAGATTTTTCGTGTTTCCTCAGTACAGTTTTTTTTTTAATGTAAAATTCTCTTTCTAAATTGGGATCCACACATAATATCTTAGAAGTTTTAGAAAATATAACCATAATATTCTTAAAATAATACGCTCAACCTATTGTCGTATCCACAAGATCCTGCTGATTCTGCCATAAAATGATAGAACAGCTGCAGAATCAAGCACACAACTTCCATAACTGATTCTAAGGGACCTCCTCAGGAGTCATTAAATACAAATGTACTTACGTCAACAATAAGGAAATCCAGCCAGCACCAAGCGTTAGTGAAATAAACCTTGAAGCCATAAGCCGTCCACTTTAACAACATCTCAATCACAAAGACATACGTGAACACTTTATCGGCATATTCTAGCATAGTCTTTATAACTTTCCTCTGCTCAATGTAGATGTCTTCGAATGCCTAGTAGGAAAGCAGATAAGTGGAATTTAGACGTGATCATTACAACTCCCCCCCCCCCCCCCCCCCCCCCTTTAAAAATGTATTTTCTAGAGGTATAAATTAGGCCACAATTCAGCTGTTCAACACAAAAAAACTATGAATATAAAAGAAAAATTCTACATCCTAGCCTGCTTGCTCATAAAAGTATCTGAAGCTCCCCCCATCAAGTTTTGTAAAAATAAAGAGAACAGTCAAACTGAAGAGAGGAGAGAAAAGACAACTTTGATCACTGTACAACAACATATTCACTACAAAACAACAAAATGCACACTGAATCATGCAGGTGTTGTTTTCAAAACAGATCCATGACCAATAAAGTCATTTATAAAGAGCTCCTTTCACCACACTGTGAGAATAATTATCGAAATTTATTCAAGGTAACGGTTGAGATTTTTTTCAACACCTGCAACAACACAGTTGAATGATGTCTAAGATACTTTCTTTTTTTTCAATAACAGTTAAATATTCATTATGAGCTGTCAGGTGGTTTGCCTTCTTCTAAACTCAAAGCAGATAAGTATCTAGACCTCCTGACAGCTTTTTCCAGAAATGAAATTGTTAGTGCAAATTAAAAAGTATCCTAGGCAGTACTCAACTGTGTCACCTTAAAAAATCTGTTTACGCAATCATAGCCGCTAAAAGCCTCTTCAGACTGCACTTTCCAACCATCTGCACTGGCTGAACTAAGACTTGCCCTGTCTCATAATCACACAAAATTTCCTACGTGAATCAGGCATTGAGCCTGTGTTCACATATATGCATATAACATGGATGAGAAAGGCTGATTTAGACCATTGTTAATTCATCCTTTGCCCATAAATTCATCCTTTGCATAACTGAAGAAGTGGTCAGAGCACATCTTTTGCCCAAGTGGTAAAAGGTGACACTCTTTTCTGTCTCGTAAAGTTGGGAGTTATGAGATTAGTACATGTCTTATGATCCACAGTCATTTATGTTTGGGAAATAGCAGTTGCATGCAGCTTTGCATTTACCAGGGCTCCACTGCTGAGCAGGATCATGAAGATAATAAATGTTTCAAACCAGTTGTGCTCAACAATCTGGAAACAGGTTTTCCGAATGTTCCACCACGTTTTCCCTTTTTCCGTTTTGATATCAACGTACAGACATGGACATCTTTTCACACAAGCTGTTATTTATGAAAAAAATAAATACATAAACAAGAAAATAAAGCATTTTTAAGGTGGGCAGTTAAATTACATTACATCCTGTGTGTGTTAGAGGGGCCACTGTAAGTAAAACATTACATGTCAGGCCCTTCCAGGGTTATATAGCGACACTCCTATGAGCGCCATTACGTCAATGATGGCACTGACCAATCAGAATCTATCTGGTCTATCCTGGAAGAGAAAAGAGAGGGAACAGCAGGGATTTCAGATCCCCAGAGCAGTGGAGCGGTTGTGAGGGTGCTGACAGCTTAGCAACCTGAGACGTAAGTAGAACAGGTATGGGGGTGGGAAGGGTGTCTGCTGTTAGGCTAGGTTCACACCTATGCAGTTTGCGTTTGTTCCGTTTCTGCAGTGCTTTTTGCGTTGTTGCATATGCGTTTTTCATTTCTTTTTTTCCAAATTGTTGCTGGGCAGATTAAAACGCTTCAAAAACGCACTACATACATTTCTGGAGCATCTCTGTTGAAGTCTATTGAACCAAAAATGCAATATTTTTGTTTTTAAAAAGTCTCTGACCGTTTCCAAAAAAACGCAATGGGCGAAAACGTGAGATGTGAATGTGACCCATAGGAAATCAAGTTAAATGGACTGTAGTGCGTTTCTGCAAAATGCACCACAAAACACTTAGGTGTGAACCTAGACTTCTAGTTCACGTTTGCGATTTTTCTGTAAAAGGTGAATTAACCCTTTGACTGCAGCACAGAAAAATCAGGTTTTCTGCCATCAGGGCTGTGCTGTATGGCAGAGATGCAAGTCTCACAACTGAATGTACAGAAATACAAATCCTTCGGCACATGAAAAAAAAAAACTCCCATAGATGTATTTCATTTTTACATTTAGCCAGCCATTTGCCTGGAATTCAGCTATAACAAGGATTAAAGAAACCACCATCTTTTTTTATTGACAATTTTTAGTTAACGTGCAATAGATCTTGTCCTGATATGCTATCAAACATTATTCAGAGACTACAAGTCCCAAGAGAAACACTTTTTACAGTTCTGTGAACTCTTTTGAATTAATTAAGGGGGAAAAAAAAGTTGAAGAAAAAAAAGGTGCAGGCTTGTTAGTTTCTCTTCTCTTTTTTGAAGAGATAGTGCTCCCACGTTCACTGATGCGTATTTAAACACCTTTGCCAGCTTATCTGAAGCAAATATGAGATACAGTATCATGTGTGTTGTATTGTACAGCAGGTGTAAAGCACCACGATGGAATAAAAGCAGACTTTATCCCTCCATATTATACACCTTAGTTTAAAAACCTTGTATTCAGCCTCTAGCACTACTTCAAAGTGGATTTTCATTTTAGTTGGGATGAGACCCCATTGGGTCTTAATCTGACCCTGCTGAGAAGTCAGATGCTGTTAACAAAAACAAAAAAACACTGAATTTATAGAGTACATTTAATTCCACCTTCTACCAGCAAGTGACAGTGATGGATAATTTGGAATGACAGCTTTAGGTTACACAATAAAGTTTTTTTTTTTTTGTTTGCTTTTTTTTTTTTTTTAAAGATATTTTACTTATAAAAATTATTTTTTGACAATAGACACAGGGAAAAAAAAAAAAAAAAAAAAAAGTCTTGTGATTAAAGCAACATGCTTCAATTTAGAGTTCTCTTGGTACCACGTGACCCATAGTAGGGAGTTGAGAGAGGTTTGAACCCAGTAATTACGTATATTAGCTATAGCTACATGACATTACAAGTATGAAACAGATGTTAAACCTAAGAGAGAGCTCCACAAAATTCAGGACAGCTTGTTAACCATGGTCCCCACCATTTTTGCAATTTAGGCTGATTGTGTGCAGGGTGTCTTGCACCTTTGCATCCCATCTTAGTTCATCCAGGAGGCACAGTACAGCATCTGCTGCCTGTCAAAGTCTATGGCAGGCCATAAACTGCAATTGGACAAAGCTGAAAACTGTACCAAGTGATACTCACATGTAGGGGCCTGTCCATTCAGGGACAAATGCCTGTAACACAGAATAGCTGCATTCCAGGCATTCAACCCTGAATGCATAGTGCCCTATACATGAGTACCACAGCGTTCAGCTGCAATGTATTTAAGCCTGCCATAGATTCTGACAAGCGGCATACAGCAGGGCTGGATGCTGCACCTGGGCACACTTAAATGCTGGGATAGGACTAGACTCCCCATGTGCAATGGGCCAATGATGGGCAAGCTCTGGTGAAAAATATTGGTTTATACTTAGGCATTGTTCCATTAGAAATGGTGACTTTGGATTCAGTGTTGATGTGTTTTTTAATTTTAGTAGTATTACCTTTTTGGCGCAGGCCAACAAAAGACTAATTTCACATACTCACCTTCCCACTGGCTCCAGCGTTGACCTGCTAACTTGGTCCCCTCCTCCAGGTTCCAGCAGTTGGCCCATGAAGACGTGCACCATCTCTGCCCAGTGACTGCTCTTTGTCCTTCTACTGTAGCCTCCTGGGATATGTAATGTAGATATCCAAGGAAGCTGTGAGAAAGGGACATACCATTTTCTAGGTGGGAGGATTGCAGAGAGGAACAGTGACTCTGGGGAGTGAAGATCCAGTTTAAACACCATGTAATTCAGCAGATCTGATAATCTAATTATGCACTTTCCACATACGTTCTGTAAAGCATTCCTCTGGGCCTTCCTCTTCTTTATGCTCAAGGGCCTCTTCCTCTTCTTCTGGCTCGGGAGGCTTATAATCTACTGTGCTGCACATTGATGAACCATCATCAAACTTCCGCTATAGCAAAATATAGGATAATGAAGGATATATGTGATCGTTAAGTATTTTGATATTCCAAAAAAAAAAAGGTATACAAACTTTGAGAAAACAGAACCAGTCATAGCAGTTTATTTATGGACCCCAGATCCCTCCCCCAACTTCCCCACATAGTGGATTGCAAATACACTAGGCACCTGGCCATCACACCTACCTATTTCCAAAAGCGTACATACCTCCAAATGATTGAGTTCAGGTGTTTCCAGTGCGTGCTTCAAGCATTGTGGCAACAGTTTGGGGAAGGGCACTTGTAGTGCTGTGCACAAAGGCAGCTCCATAATGACATAGTTTGACAAATTCAGTGTGCAGGTTCCCGAGTGGCCTGCACAGAGCCCTGATTTCAAACCTATTAAACATCTTCTGAAATCAGTTGTATTGCTAACTGTGAGCCAGGCCTTCATGTCCCACAAAACAAATCCTCTTCTAGCTAATGGGCACAAACTCCAAAATCTTGTGGAAAATCTTCCCAGAACACTGGAATTGACTTTACAGTAATGCCCATGGTTTTGACATGGGATGTCCATAAACCTTTGGTCATATAACGTACTTGCACCCAAGATCTTTACTGTGTGGCCATGCCCTGCACCTGCCACTCATGCTTGCTGCAGTCCTATCCTATCCCATGACTGGGTTCACATTCCTAATCAAAATGGGACACAGAGCCATCAATGGGAATAAACTGGTGCCATAGTACATGCACAACATGTGTAGAGCCCAGTCAGGGCTGTGTGAAACCAGGTATGGTCGACCCAGTAGTAGAAATGATATAGTAAATATGCGTGTAGGTAAGAAATAGCACAACAAGGCTGCAAGCGCTAAAATTTTGATACCCAATGTAAAAAAAAAGAAAAGTGTGACCTGCTGTTTCTGTATTGTCACTTTTTAGCGCTGCACTTTTTTGCCTATGGTCAACACAGTGAAGATCACTGGAGTGAAACTGCAGATATTCACCCACTGGGAATCCACTCATTACAATGAAGAGGTTAAATAAGGGACAACTTAATAAAAGAGTAAGGGGTTGTACCTTCGGCTGTATAGTCCTCTCCTCCATCTCTGACTGAGTGCTGATCTCATCTGTGTCCGGAATATCTAGGTCAGACTCTTCAGAAGCAATGGGCACCTCTATCCTGTAATGTGGGTTGTTAATCAGATTGATGTGGTCGAGTTCAGTCATGATGTAGCGTGGTTTTTTCATGAAACCATCAACAACTGGGCTTTCTGACTTGGGCTCTTCCTTTGTCTCAACGTGATTTAATGCAATGCTTTCTTTGTTAACATCTTCTTCCTCCTGCTCATCCTTCTTCTTCTTAAAGGGCAGTATGGAAAGAGCAGTTTTCTTTACAAAGTCTATGCCTCTGGTGATTCTCCCAATGGCGATCTGCAGGTTATTCATTTCTCCATCGTCATCAGAAGCAGACAGGTTGTCAGCGCTGAAGGAGCTCAGCAACAAGGCCAAGAAGAGGTTAAGCACCTACAAATATTATAATAAATAAGTATCATTATATGCTGTTATTGGCAGTGTGGTTATACAGTGTATGTAATGACATCTAATAAAACCAGCACTGGACAGTGAGTACATAGACTAGACATCCGGCTAATATGACTAGATATGTGGGAAGCAAAGATGCTGTACAATCCAACCAAATTTCATCTCATATCCTATACTACAAATACAACTGGATATAGGTCTTTACTTGTCTTTTCTGCACAAAATAACCCACTTTACCAGGAGGTGACACTGGGAGAAATGTGGAATTCTTACTCCTAATCAGCTTGAGGTGATTGTAGCCGTATTAGTGCATTTGTGACAGAAACAATTGAGTACTGAGTAATTGTATGTTAGTGCAAATAAAAAAAGTATCACGGACAGTACTCAATTGTACTCCTAATCAGAAAATCAAGCACCTGACTACAGAAGGAATAACTCAAAAGGTGTCATAAGCAAACAGAGGAAATGGCTGGTTCATCGGCAACAGGAAGACTCCAGAGGAAAAAAAAAAAAAAAAAGGATGATGACCTGTGACCCAATGGCCTGTCTGTAGTAGTAACCCCTTAGCCCTTTGAGGACCGTAAGATTTTGGAACGCCAAAAGAATCAATTTTTTTGTTTTTAAAGTTTGTACACTTCAGTTGCTGTAACTAAGCCATTTCATGAAATAATTGGCAAAAAGCTAGATCCATTGTTGTTTGTTGATAAGAACTAATATTTTGACTCAAACCAAAAAAAAAAAAAAGAGTTTTAAGTTCTTAATCAGATGATACACACAATTAAAAACATGGGACAAATACGTCCCTTGGTCCTCAAAGGGTTAACACCCACTCTAGTTGTTTTTAAAAGAAAAGCGTGGGATTGTAAAAAAAAAAACAAACAACACATATTTATACTCACCCAAGTGGATGCAAAATCGCTGCGATGCTGCATCTGTCCCTGCCACCTCTAGGCCGAGAACCAAACGATCAAAGACAGACGATTGCGCAGTTCTCAGTCTTCAGTGAGCAAAGAGCCAGTGACTTTCAGTCACCTGCTCCTCTGTAAAACCCTCTGTGTGAAGATCATGGCTTCCATGTCATACCCCCCCCACACCAACACATAACCTCTGTCATAACCTCCTTTTTCCATCAACCGTACATGTTTTACATCTGTAATACCAACCCCCCCCCAAAAAAAAAAACCTCTTTTCGTAGACATAATCCCCTCACAATAAACGCCACAGTACTCTGCTGCACACCCCACTCCTGCACATACTGCCCTCGGCCAAAAGTTCCGTGCTCCTTTCCTGCATGTATTTTCCCCCATTCACACTCCTCTCCTGCACATAATCCACAAACCAACTCCCCCCCACCAACACACATCATAATATCCTCTGTACTGCTCTCCTGCACATACTGACCGCTGATGCACAATGTGCACTCTCCTCTTGCATATATTGCCCCCATCATACCCTTCACAATCCTCTCCTACACATATTACTTCCATCATACAATTCTCACTTTTCTGTGCCTGTTGCCCGCTGTCATACCCTTCATACTACTCTCCTGTGCACGCTGTCTGCTCTCCTGCCGTCTGCACTCCTCCTACACATACCGCCCCTGTAATACCCTCCCCACTCCTCTCCTAAATGTACCTCCCTGTGTCCCCCTGCACTCCTCGACTGAACATACTGATGCTTGCGGTCATACCTTCCACACTCCTCTACTGCATATGCTGCCCGCTAAGCCACTTCTTTAGCATTGATTCCCATATCCTCATCTTCTCTCATTACCAGGTAAATTCAGATTTTTAATTATAAATCTGACCCGTGCCTCAGCTCCAGTATTCTAGTTGACACGGTTACTTGCGTCTCAGTATTCTAACCAAAGCACACTAGTACTCTGTTTCTCTAACATCACATTAGCGTCACTTCTATTTCAAAAGTTACGCATAGAAATATTTAATGAACTCTCACTCAAGAAATAATCAGAGCTACTTAAGATTCCCTTATTTATTCCTAAAATGTTTGGAATGACAACACGCTTTGCAGCACTTTTCAATCTACAGAGATTCAATTCAAAACAGTCCCTGTTCCCCAAAAAGTGCTCATAGTTTAATATCCCTACATACTACTTCCAGTTTGTATTCAACAGGAAACACAGACATGGCAAGGAAATACAAATACAACAGGAATAACGACTGAGGTGAATTTCAAACTCAAGTGGCTAAACACTTATTCAGTGTGCTATCTATTCCAATCTGTACCTAACCTATTTCACACCTGTACCAAGAATGGTCAGAAAATACAAATACGTTGTGTCCGTCAGGCTGACATTGCTAACCTAAGAAGCTATAAACTAACCTCAGACGCATCCATTACTGCAGACGGGCCTTTACTGTGGCTTGTGAGATTTAAATAGAGTACTTCAGTGTATATCTTGTCTCACTGTAAGTAGAATGCCTCTATTGTACAGTATATCCTCACAATTTCCTCTGTGTTTCTATTTTTCAGACAGGCTGGATTACCTTGCTACTTGAATTGCTTCCCTTAAGTCCTGGTATGACTACAGTGACTCTCTCAGGAGGAAATGTCTCATGGCTTAGACCAGTACCCAGCTGTGAGCTGTCCCACTGCCAGAGTTAGAAGTCACCCTTCTTACTGCCGAACAGAGACCTGCAACATAACTAGACCTTGTACAGTTGGGCTCTCTTAGCCTACAATTTAGTTGTAGCTTCTAGTTAATATAAAGTGCGGTCATTTTCGACAATTTTGGTCAACTTTCTTGATACAGAGGGCCTCAGATGCAGCCCCTGATAAATGCCAAAGGGCCACACACAAAACCTAGTGAATGTAACATTAGAGAAAGCTGTCAGAGACCACAGAAAAGAAACAGGAGATAATCAAATGCTAAAGGCATGTTGCAAGGGATGTTCAAACTGTAGACAAGTGGCCGATGATGCTCAGTGCTCGGAACATGCTAGAAGAAATGTTGAACATTGGGAACATGTGACAGAAGACAGTCATACTGTAGACATGTTTCAGGAGACAGCCTTAGACTGGGGTCACATTATATGAGACTGATAAAGATCACTACTGTTAAAGCCCCCTTACAATTAATTGCTCCCTATGTGATAACTCGTGTCACAGTTGATATTTTTCTCAGAAAGATCGATTATAAAAGAACACAGAAATTAAGAAGCGAAAAGGAATAGGACATCACAAAATACAAGATAATGTGAAATAAACGTAACAATTTAAGTACTAGAAACCATTCTAAAGAATGTCTTCCTTCACTGCCCTATATAAGAACCTAAGTTATCAGACTACTGTCTACAGGAAGCCCTGAGGGCTGCACAATAAATGCTGGAGCCACATACTGTTCCCAGGATGCAGGTTGAGCACCAGGGGTTTAGAAGCTAGTTTGTTCACAGACAACTAATTTATACACAATATTACTTGGCTCATTGTTAACTACTTTTCCCTACAGGCTACATGTTTTGCTTATTAGTCAGTCCCATCATCAGTCCCACCCCGCAAGCCAAAGTCCTAGGTGTCACTCTAGACTCAAATCTGTCCTTCCAACCCCATGTCCAATCGCTGGCAAACTCATGCAGGCTCCACCTCCGCAACATCTCCAAAATACGTCCGTTCCTAACCCCAGACACTACTAAACAACTCATTCACTCCCTTATTATCTCACGACTCGACTACTGCAACTCCCTCCTCACCGGTCTACCTCATCACTGACTATCCCCGCTTCAGTCTATCCTGAACTCAGCGGCCAGACTCATCCACCTTACCAACCGCCGCATCTGCCACGCCCCCCTGTCATTCCCTCCACTGGCTTCCAATTGCCCATCGCATTAAATTCAAACTACTAACACTGACCTACAAAACCATTCATAACGCTGCCCCAAACTACCTCACCGACCTGATACCCAAATACCACCCAACCCGTACTCTTCGCTCCTCACAAGACCTCCTACTTTCTAGCTAACTGGTCTCCTCCTCCCACCTGACTGCAGGACTTCTCCAGGACTTCCCCCATCCTCTGGAACTCACTACCCCAATCCATCAGACTGTCACCTACCCTCCTCACCTTTAGGCGCACCCTGAAAACCCATCTCTTCTGGGAAGCCTACCCCACCTCACCTAACTGCCGATCTCCTCCACCCTCCCACCACTCCATCCCCCACAGCCACTTCCTCCTGTACCACTCTCCCCTCCCTCCTAGATTGTAAGCTCAAAAGAGCAGGGCCCCTCGAACCCCTCGTGTATTGTATTGTTACTGTATTGTCTCATGTACTGTCCCCCACTATAATGTACAGCGCTGAGCAAACTTGTTGGTGCTATATAAACACTGTATAATAATAATAATTAATATGCTATTTATACCATTTGATGTTTTTGTATTCTCAACAGCTATGTTCTTGCTGCCTAACATCACCTTGGCTATTTCAGTAAGTTTTCTTACGCTATGTTTTATATCCTAATCTTTTTCTCAATAAAAATTTTTGAAAGTGAAAACTACTTTATAGTTGTTCCACAATGACAGATTTTACTGGTAGTTCAAAGGAGCAAGGAGATATTTTGGTAATAGTTATCTGAGTAAATAAGACTTTGAAATTGAAAGTAGATTTAAACTCAGTAATATAAAATGTACATTTTAACATGATAATGTATTTTCAAAAGCAGCTGTCCATCTTTGAATTCTGTAGTTTTATTTAAAGTAATACCTGCTACGAATGTCTATGTTCAGTCACTTCCTATTACAGAATGCCATGTTGCTCCCAACCAGGGGCGGACTGACCATTTGGAAACTTGGGCACTGCCCGAGGGCCCAGGGTCAGTAGGGGGCCCCATGAGATGCCCCTGGTACCTTTTTCATAGGCTTTATTGAGTTTGGGCAAGGACACAGGGGCCCCATGATCCCCTATTGCCCGGGGGCCCCATGAGTTGTCAGTCCGCCCCTGCTCCCAACTGTGCTCCTGTGTTGTTACCCTGTCATATGTGGCCTTGGTTGAGACCACAAGCAACCACACTAACACCACATTGCATGGGCATGGTCCACTGATGTCACCATCAAGAAGCCAGAGCAGTGTTTTGCAAATGTTGCTGGTGCAAGCGCACAGAGAGAAAATGGCTGAAAGAGGCTAGAGATCAGAAGCAGGTGAAGTCATCCTGCTGACAAGATCCCTGAGAATCCCACCCTCACCTAGATGATTCTAGAGGAAGCCAGGGAAAGCAAGTACAGGCGTACCTTGGTTTACGAATTTAATGCATTCTCCGGGATGTTTCGTATTGCAAAAAATTCGCAAACCGAAACGCGGTTTCCCATAGGAATGCATTTCAAGCCAATTAATCCGTTCCGGAGGTCAGAAAAAAGTTTTTAAAAAAGTCTTTTATCTGTTCAAAACTCTTTATAAAGTGCACTTTAAAGGCATACATACTGTGAAGGGACATGATTAAAAAGTAATTCATAAATGCATTGAAAAAAATTCGAAAACCAACGCGGTTTTAATGCATTTCAAGCCAATTCCCAGAGGTCAGAAAAAAGTCAAAAAAATTTTATCTGTTCAAAACCTTTTATAAAGTGCACTTTAAAGGCATAAAGGGACATGATTAAAAAAAATTCATAAATGCATTGAAAACCAATTAATCCATTTCGGAGGTCATAAAAAAAGTCTTATCTGTTCAAAACTCTTTATAAAGTGCACTTTAAAAGCACGGGGCCAGCACTATAAACCTCCCAGGTGCAATGCATCCTGGGGAAACTTCGTATTGCGAAAAAAATTAGCAAACCGAGGCATTATTTTCAATGGATTTTCATTTGTAAACCGAAAATTACGTTACCTGAGGCGTTCATTAATCGAGGTACGCCTGTATATTATCGAACATTCCCTTGCACAAAATTTAGCCTATTCTCGGAGATCTGCCCAGAAGGAGGATGACCTCACCTAGATGCTTCCAGAGGAAGCCAGGGAAAGCAAGTATATTATGGAACATTTCATTTCACAGGTTTATATTTGCATTTTCCTACAGCATTTTAGGGAGGGAGGGCAGCTTGCATAAGTGGACCTTGCCACCAAGACGGCAGGTTGGCTTTAAAGTAAAAATTACAAATCACAGCAATTCAGTATTACAGATGAAATTACAGCTGAATTCATTTAGGAAAAAAAGTGACCAAAAAAAGAAAATGAATCAAAACTTACCACTAAATTTCCTACCACCATGACCATCATGAACACGACTAAGCACATAGCTTGCCCTGCCACCTCCATACAATCCCACATGGTTTCAATCCACTCTCCACACAGGATTCGGAAGACAATGAGGAAAGAGTGGAAGAAGTCGTGCATGTGCCATCGGGGAAGAACACAGTCTGAATTGATCTTACAAACGCATTCCTTATAGCTCTTCCCGAAAAGCTGCATTCCCACCACTGCAAAGATGAAGACAATAATGGCGAGGACCAGCGTGAGATTCCCAAGAGCGCCTACCGAGTTACCAATGATTTTGATAAGCATGTTCAGCGTAGGCCAAGACTTGGCAAGCTTGAAGACCCTAAGCTGCGAAGAAAGAGAACATAAAAATTACATTAAATTTCCAAGCTTATGCACCTAACTGGAAGACTACACAAAGACTGAAGATTTATCACTGTAAAACTGCAGGCCACCAATGTAGCAACTATAATTACCAGGTCCTGTTCTACACTCTTTTTACCTCATTACGACTTTTTTTTGGACATCTAGGGCAATCTGGTTAGCTAGGGGACACTGGAACTCTGATATAGGACTTCACACATGGGTAACTCCAACCCTATAACTCTAATCCATTAGAACACAAAGCTCTAGAGGTAATTCCAGCAAGGTCAATTAGATCATTCTAGTTGTTAATGTTTGAAAATAACTGATGCAGAGCTGTATAAATGTGTGCAGTTATATTAAACTTAGTGCTGAGCTCAGCCAGTATAAAACAACAGTAATTAATGCCAATAACGTATGCATTCATTAAAAAGCATTGTTTATGACCCTTCAACATCACTGTCTGGAAAACTGCTATAGTGGGCTTTTTTTTGTATTAACCAACACGCTGTTATGTATTTGTATTATCAATGCTATAGGCAATAAAGATTTACATGCTAAAAAAATATTATTAAGTGTTCTTGCATAGCAAGAACACTTATTGTTATCTCACAAGTATATTCTTATTCTTATTATAGCCAAATTTGCCACGCTAACTCCTCCCACAGTTTTTACACTACAAAGACAAGTAATATATCAAAACGTGCGGATTGTTCCCGATCGGATTGCTATTACTTTGTGGAACGTTTCGCCGAATCGTTCAAGAAATATCGCGGTTTTTGTGGCAAAAGTTTCCCATAGGAATGAATGGTGCATGTACAGTGGCAGCAGAGCACAGCTAGAGTGTGCAAAGGAAAAATCAGAACATGATTTGTAAACTGCCATCACTCTGTCATTTTCAAGCCCACCTACACATATCTTATATCAAAACGTTCAGCTAACCCTGCTGTCACTAAAAATGTTCACGGCTAGGACATACTCCTGATAGTTTTCAGAATATGAACATTTGTTTGCAACTCACCCCTCCCATTGACTTTCATTGAAAATCCACTCTAGACACCTGAAATTTTAAGGGACGTTTTTAAACTGCGACTGTGCCTTCATTTTTTATCTTTCAGATACATACTATACATCAAAAGTTAGCCCTGCTTCATGTGATTATCACAATATACGGCTCTTTGCTGTAGCATTTATACTTTTAAAACTACAAGCGTTTGAAGATGGCAATCGCCAGTGAAGTTGGCAAGTTTAAACAGCGTGTTTAGAGCAGAGCTGCTGACATTCCTGACTGAGTGAGTTGCTATAGCAACCAAACATGACTCACACGCAGCTGAGTCACACAGGCTGGACTGGGAGCTCCAAAATACAAGCTGAAATCCATTTCTCCCTCTGTCAGGCTTGCTATGTGCACTGCTTACATTTCATGAATCATTTGGTAAGGGTTGCTTGCAAAAACACTTTACACAATTTCCCCAGAAATTGTAGATTTTCTAGTTTTTAAATGCAATTGATGTAGGTACAATTATTTGACTCCTGTAGTGCCATGCACCAATATAAAAAAAAGACTGGTCAGGTGTGCTGCATACAAATATACTGACAACAGACATGCACAGATAGACAGTCACTGAGCTGATCAGTCTGCTGCCCCTTCCTTGTTCAATCACAGGCTGGATGCAGGGAGGTGACCACACTGTACTGCATAAATGCAGCAAATAAAAGACAGTTCTACCCATATGGAAGAAAAATATATTTGAAATGCTACAATTTATATTCAAATATATATATATATATATATATATATATATATATATATATATATATATATACTGCATGTTAAAATGCGTTTTTATTACAAAATATATAAAAAATATTTTTAAAAAAACATTTCAAATATACTATATGCCTTTAAAAATACAAACCTACATTTTTGGAATGCATTTACAAATATATGTAAAAATATATGTTAAAAAATTATTTTTTAAATATATTCTTCAGACTTTTTTTAATATATAAAAAGGTCATTTAACATATATTTTTACATATATTTGCAAATGCATTCCAAAAATGTTTAGATTTGTATTTTTAAAGGCATACAGTATATTTGAATTTTTTTTATATATTTTTCATATATTTTGTGATACAAATGCATTTCAACATGCAGTATATATATATATATATATATATATATATATATATATATATTTGCTTTCATATGGGTAGTAGAGCTGTGCAAATCTCAGGACTGAATGGACAGAAATGCAAATCCTTTTGCAGGAACAACTGTACCTTCTTCAACTGGTGTGACTATCACATAAAATGTATTTACAATTAGGGGATGAAGACAACAAAAGCACCAAATGTCCAGAGCAAGATGATCTGCATTTAAAAGTGGCTTATAAATGTCTAAATATTGTAAGTTGCATTAGGGTGGCATTGACGTCTGTTGAAGTTTTACTCTTTTCTGCCTGTTGTATTTTTTAAAAAATTACAAAAAAGAATGCAAAAAAAAAAAAAAATTTAAATAAAGACATGCTCCCAAAAGGCTAATAAACCACCCATGTAAGGTTCTGACAGTACTTTAAAAGTATTCCCCTTTTTTGATAATTCTTCTGAAAACATAAACTCCAATAGGCTGAAATCACACAGTACACTTTTATATTACTCAGGGTTCCAATAGTGAAATTCAGCAAAGTTACAAACTCCACTACTCCCAAGTCTCCCTCCAGATGCTGTTCAGACAGACTGCAAACAGTGCACATAATTATTATTATTATACAGGATTTATATAGCACCAACGGTTTGCTCAGTGCTTTACAATATAACGGGAGACAATACAGCAACAATACAGTTCAATACAAGAGGGATAGGAGGGCCCTGATCCTGGGAGCTTACATAAGGCTCCATGCACACGGGGTGTTTTGATAACGCTGGCAACATTAACTGTGTAAAGTCATGTTAAAAACGTGAGTTTTTTAGCTTTTTTTTAGCATTTTTGCATTAGCGTTTAGCGGTGTTTTTCCACGTTTAGCTGCATTTTCCAGCGTTCTTCCGCATTTGTATTTTTTGGTAATAAAAGTCTAAAAATGCTGGTTTGCAGCGCTTAATCTCAATTTACCATGTTTTACCGCGTTTTTCAGCTTTAGGGCGTTTTTACAGCTAAAAAACTCTTCCAGAAACCCACCAGTTCTGTTTTTTTTTCCAGCAAAAAAAATGTCCCTGCAAAAAAAACGCTGATTACGGTCTATGTGTGCATGGACACATAGGATAACATGCTAGGGGGTTTACTGGCTGTAGAAAAAAAACCTCAAAAGCCAAAAACAGCTGTTGTAAAAATGTCCAGTGTGCATGGGGACTAATAGTCATATGCAAGGATCTCAGCACCAGAAAAAAAACAAAAAAAAAAAAACCAAGAGATTGTGGTGCAACTCACTGGCATGTAACCAAACTTGAATTAGTGGACGAAAGCAGGCTATAGATTTGGAAAACATCTCGTGATTTTTCTTCCGATAAACGGAAAATTGGTTGGTCATAGAGCCAATTAGACCACCAATTACAACGAAAATCGGCGGAAAAATTCTTTGTAATTGTTACCTCTGCAGGAAATGATGTCGTTTTTTGGGTGGAAATTATGTCGTTTTTTGGACGGAAATGCTGTCGTATTTTTGGCGGAAATTATGTCGTTTGGTAACCTTTTTTTCCCTCTCTCTTTTCGGAATCTTCCGTCAAGACATCAGCAACGTGTCATCCCTACGAATTTTCTTCATTTATCTTATGAAATTGCCCAAAATGAACCGCAAACAAAAACTGGCCCTTATAATGCTAGGTGTGTTAGCACTGGAGGAGAAAAAAAAAAAAAACAAACAAAGAGCAGAATATGGTCCAAAGACTGGCTTCTTCAATCTGCAAATTTTCACACATGAACCTGCTTTCTAATTTAAAAGAAAATAATCCTGACGACTTCAAAGATTATCTGCGAATGTCCCAGCAGTCTTTTGATCTGCTCCTAACCATGGGTGTACCGCACATTAGGAAAAAAGACTCTTACATGTGCAAACCCATCAGTGCAGAAGAAAGAATCATTGCAATCCTCCGTTATCTAATGAATGAATAATGAATTATAATGAATAAAAAATAATGCTTTTTATACTGTCTACCTACATGTGTCAATAAAGCTTTGCTGCTTTAAAAGCATATTGCTGTTATTTTTTATATATATATATATATCCATAAGTTATAGGTGTTAATTGTGCCATAAATTCTTTTAATTATGGGCTAATTAAGCACAACATAATAAGCATAGTGGATGCATGTTATTTCTGTACATCAAACACAAAAGTTACATGATACATGACATGACGTTCTGTTTACATACTACAACTTTTGACCTTTCTCCCAGAAAAGAAATTTCGTTCCCTGAGAAACTTCCAGGTCATAGCACATGCGCATTAATTTGTCGTTTAGAAAATTGGGGAATATTACCATCAATGGGATGAAATTCGGTCATTTTTATAAAATTTACCAGTAGGACCGATAATCAAAAAGAAAAAAAAAAACGAAAATCTTCAGACAAAATTACCCATACACGACAAGAATATCGGCGGAGTTTAATGCCGTCCGAAAAATCGCAGGATTTTTCACAAATCTAGGGCCTGCATTACACTTTAGGTTTTGCATGTAAATATAGCATGCTATAATACCAAGTCACTTGATCATGTGTGCACCTTAACTTTTCATTAGTATTCCTTCATCAATGCAGAGCCATATCACTAGTCCTTTCTGGAGTCAGATGAAATGTTATCAGCACTGTGAAGCACGTAAATCAGTCTCAGGGGAATATGCAGGGGTCTCAAATACATATACAGTCACCCTGCAGACAGCCTGCAAGCTAAAACTCCAGTGTCAAATTGAGAAGAGTCATTAAAAGAAGTTGAGAATAGCAGCTTGACCATGTTGTTTCACAGAAAATGCATATCACCTGTTAAAGA